CTTTCCCAGTGGAAACACGCATTCTGGGCCTGACCCCAGTAAACACTGCGAATGTTGGCTGAGAACCTCAAAGCTGTGCTCATCAACCCTGCAAGTCAAACAGAAAAGCAAGAAATATCTCATCTCACTACGCTGAGTCTTTTCAAGTATCACTCACTGTAAACATTGGGGGTTTGTTGGGTTTTACTGCAAGAAATCAGAGGTGCTGCCAGAAACTCCCCCAAAACCCAACCAAGGAGCCCTGCCTGACAGGGAGAGGGCAGCCAGCCCTTTCTGCTCCAACTGGGCTAGCAACATGACAACTGGGCATGGCCACGGCCATGCAATCGCTGAGGGTGCAGCCGGATCACCATGGAGGAGTTGGCAGACAGCAACGTGGGATGGGGGATTAGGGGAAAGCATTTAAAATCAGGTCTTTCCTTGTTCAACAGAAAGTGGGATTTAAAAAATATATATATTGACACTATATAAATACATAGATAAAGCTGGATTTCAAGACTGGATGATCCAACGGTTTCACAATTCAGGTAAAGTTCCTTTTAAGAGCCTCTAAGTTACTCAGCCACAACGGTTTTCTGGCTCAACTGATGTTTTACTCATGTAAAAAGATGTGGTGCAAACTTGTGCTCGTATTTCTTTGTAAGATCCCAAAAGGAAGAACATTTTGGTTCTCCAGACTTCCCAATTGGCATACGAGTCCGTTCGCAGGATGCTCGAGCTGCGTCCTCAGGAGTCTCTCAAGGACAGGAGTCAGAGCTGAACCTTGTTCCTTGTTGCCAGGATTTTCTCTGTGGCCTCTGTGATTTTTGCTCTATTTCTTCCTCTTTTTTTTTCTTTTTTTTCCCCTTTTTTTTCCCCTTTTTTTAAAAAAAATCCCTTTAAATAAAAGTTTTATTTTCCAATATACATCAAACAATCTTCATGCAAAGCAGCAGTCATGGAGACATCCAGACTTTCCAGGTTCCTTCTCTCCATGTATGCTTGAAAAAAATGATCCATCTTGATTTGACTTTGATTGAGATGCTTTGTCTTTTTTCTATTCCTGCCTTTTCATACCGGATCCTATATGAGTTGGAACACAGTCAGTCCTTGGGCCTGTCTCTGCTTCCTCCAGAAGAGCCTTGGTATTTATATGTGTCCAGTGCCTTCCTTGCTTGTTCTCCCTCTGAATTCCCGAGAGTCCATGCAATCCTCTGCCCTTTGCTGCCCACGAGCACCGCAACCTTTCTTCAGCTCTCAATAGACATGGCACCAATGAGTTGCTCTACTTTGTATGCCAGACGCTGCCTACGTGCCTGTTCATCCTGCTCCAGAGCCCCAATAAGCTGGTACAGAAAAAGGGAGAGGAAAAAAAAAACAAGAGAAAGAAGTCAGTGTGTGAGAGGGGGAGCTGGAGGTGGGTGGGCAGCAAGATATGAGCAACTTGAAATGGGGATGTGTGAAACTTAAATAACAAGTGGCAAAGCAATGCGACGAGCGCTTCACCGCAGCTGTGCCCACCCATTTGTTGGACTGCTCGGTGCATGTTATCATGCACACCCATCATTCCCACTCTTGTACCTTGGACTCCACATTTCTTGTCTCATTTAGCAGGAAAGTGATGAGATTTTTAAACGCTCATCGAGTGGCATTGTATTACAAATGCATCCATGCAATTAAATGACAAACCCCTTCCTTTTAACGAATGTAATGACAAAATAGGTTCTTCTTATGCTGAAATGAAGGGGTGGAACAGATGGTGAGAACTTGGTTTCAAGTGATGCATTCATTAAAGGAGCTCACACTGACAGCGATTCTTTGCAAACAGGAGTCTGCGTCACTGCAACATAGGATTTGTACCATGCTGTTCCCAAAAGATGGGGATGTTTCTGGGGAACTTCACTGGGTCATGACAATTTTCCACTGCATTTAGGAGTGGGCTGCACTGGGTGTATGCCAAGGCTGAGGAACCCAGTTGCTCCCACAATATTTTAACTCCCAATCCTTATGGAAAGCATGCTACAGGCACGGCCAGGACCTGAATCTCTATATTCATGAACAGAGCAGGACAGCAGCGGTGCTAGCTATGGCTGTGTTGCATCAAGGACAAAGAGGAAGGAGCAAGCAGGATTGTTGCACATTCCAGTACCGCACAGAAACGCGGCTCCTCTCCCATGCTGTGTGTGCAATGGGGCAGCATCACCTCTGTGCCCACCCTGGGGGACACCCACCTCCTCGCTGTACTTGCTGACGTAGGAGTAGATCTCGTTGAGTGCACTCAGCATGTTAAACTCAACAGCGTGCAGGCGCGACTGCTCGGCGAGGTAGGCGTTCATGTCCTGGTCACTGATGGCAGGGAGCTTGGCAATATCTGCATAATACCTGTGGGAAAGAAAAGCTGAGGCCATGGGAAACACGAACTGTCCCTCTTCTTGGGATTTAAACTAAGCTTTGGAGGGAGAAGGACATCACTTTGTTTTATGCTTACACCTAGCAAAACAGGATCCTCATCTGTAAGAGGTTCCAGTACCTAAAGCGGCTGACAAGAAAGCTGCAGAGGGGCTTTGGACAAGGGCCTGTAGGGACAGGACAAGGGGAATGGCTTTAACCTGCCAGAGGAAAATTGAGATGAGCTCTTAGGCAGAAGCTCCTCCCTGTGGGGGTGCCGAGGTGCTGGCACAGGGTGCCCAGAGAAGCTGTGGCTGCCCCATCCCTGGCAGTGTTCAAGGCCAGGTTGGACA